GACCTGGTTCTAACAGAGACCTGGTTCTAACAGAGACCTGGTTCTCATTGAGACCGGTTCTAAAAGAGACCTGGCTCTCATTGAGACCTGGTTCTAACAGAGACTTGGTTCTCACTGAGACCGGTTCTAACAGAGACCTGGTTATAACAGAGACCTGGTTCTCACTGAGACCGGTTCTAACAGAGACCTGGTTCTAACAGAGACCTGGTTCTCACTGAGACCGGTTCTAACAGAGACCTGGTTATAACAGAGACCTGGTTCTCACTGAGACCGGTTCTCACAGAGACCTGGTTCTAACAGAGACCTGGTTCTCACTGAGACCGGTTCTAACAGAGACCTGGTTCTCACTGAGACCGGTTCTTACAGAGTCCTGGTTCTCACTGAGACCTGGTTCTAACAGAGACCTGGTTCTCACTGAGACCTGGTTCTAACAGAGACCTGGTTCTCACTGAGACCGGTTCTAACAGAGACCTGGTTGTAACAGAGACCTGGTTCTAACAGAGACCTGGTTCTCATTGAGACCGGTTCTAACAGAGACCTGGTTCTCACTGAGACCAGTTCTAACAGAGACCTGGTTCTAACAGAGACCTGGTTCTCACTGAGACCGGTTCTATCAGAGACCTGGTTCTAACAGAGACCTGGTTCTAACAGAGACCTGGTTCTCACTGAGACCTGGTTCTCACTGAGACCGGTTCTAACAGAGACCCGGTTCTCACTGAGACCGGTTCTCACAGAGACCTGGTTCTCACTGAGACCTGGTTCTAACAGAGACCTGGTTCTCACAGAGACCTGGTTCTCACAGAGACCTGGTTCTCACTGAGACCTGGTTCTAACAGAGACCTGGTTCTCACAGAGACCTGGTTCTAACATAGACCTGGTTCTCACAGAGACCTGGTTCTCACAGAGACCTGGTTCTCACAGAGACCTGGTTCTCAGAGACCTGGTTCTCACAGAGACCTGGTTCTCACTGAGACCGGTTCTAACAGAGACCTGGTTCTCACTGAGACCGGTTCTCACTGAGACCTGGTTCTCACAGAGACCTGGTTCTCACTGAGACCTGGTTCTCACAGAGACCTGGTTCTCACTGAGACCTGGTTCTCACAGAGACCTGGTTCTCACTGAGACCTGGATCTCACAGAGACCTGGTTCTCACATGGACCTGGTTCTAACAGAGACCTGGTTCTAACAGAGACCTGGTTCTCACAGAGACCTGGTTCTCACATGGACCTGGTTCTCACAGAGACCTGGTTCTAACAGAGACCTGGTTCTCACAGAGACCTGGTTCTAACAGAGACCTGGTTCTCACAGAGACCTGGT